TAATACTCAATTTAATAACCAGGAATAATATTTTTAAAAATATTATAATATTAAAGAAAGCATTTCTGGTTTATATAAACCAGAAATTTGCTATATAACTGTTTCTGGTTTATTGAATGAAATGTGATGAAGTTCAGGGAAATACGGGCAAGGAGTACTTATGTCATCTGAGAGTAGTTTTTTTTGTTCCCCAGTGTTTTTTTTTCTTTAGATATCTGTCAATCTATAGAACTGTCAATGTATATATATAAAATATTATATGTATAAAACTAATCTCTATAACAGTTATATATATTTAAATGTAATGTGTTATGACTATTGAATATATTATATATAATATATTTAACTGTAGTATATATTATAATTTAACTGTATATAATAACGTGTGGTTAGAAAATTGTCAGTATAAATGTCAATAAATATATGATACAATATTTCTAAATTTAAGGTTCTTGTAAATTGTTTGATATATGACATAGCAGAGTAGCCAGGTGAGCTGGTGTGTGCTGTGGGTGGAGGAGGATTTTGTGCCTTCTGAAATACTGATACTTCTGAAAGATGGGAAAGAGAATTGCCCATGCCCCCGCTGGGGCGTGCGTGTGCAGGGCTGTGTCTGTGCACTGATGGGATTCAGGAGAAGCAAGTAAAAATTGAGATTTTTTTTTTTTTTTTTCCTTCTGCAGCTTCTGGGATCTATCTGATTTTATACGGCAGCAGAAAAAGACGTTTAGAAATTCTCATTTAACAAGTCTGGTCTGGATGCTTAGAAGTCCTGCTGTGAATCCATTTTTCCTGCCAGAAGGATATATTTAATAAGCAGCTACCACGCACGGAGCCATTCTGGCCAAGGATAAATCAGAAGGAATTTAAGCAGCACCCATGGATGTATCTATATCCTTTCCCTTTACATGGATTTCAAGTGTAATCATTTAACAGAGATGTTACTCATCCTTTCTCTGTTAATGTGCCCAACTCAGCTGTGTTTATGACACTGCAATTTTTTTTTAAATATATTTAGGAGCTTTTAAAAAAACAAACAAACAAAAAACTTCTGCTCTCATGTCACCAGCTTGTTTTCAATTAAATATTTTCTACTCTACCTGATTTATTTGTTTGTGTTATAAAAATACAGGCCATCCACAATAAAAATGACAGGGCAGCTTAAAAGAATAAAGAAAAATTGAGCGCTACCAATATTAGATCAACAACTGAGATATTCTGGAAAGACTTTTTTTTTTTTTTTTAATCCATTTACAGAAGTTTTACACTGCAATGCCTGAAATACCTGTTTTTCTGCTCTTCTCTGTCTTTAAATATTTTAATGCTTTCAAGATATGCATGCACTGTTTACTGAAAGAATAACTAGTAATTTTTAATAATACAGAATATATATACTATATTGAACATCAGAGAACATATATAGAATATATAATAAAAATATATACTATAAAATAATAACAATATCTTACTGCAAGAGGTGTTTTTGACCTCTTTTACAATACCTTGCCCAATGATTTGTGGGGGTGGGCACAACATAGGTAATTTAAACCCACAGACCTGCAAAAACCTCCATGTGCTGTACAAACAACTTTTTGCCTTTGTCCCATTTTTTGTGGTACCTCCTTTTGTCATTTAAGATGACGTCGTTTATTTACTGCTGATGTGAGGATTTGGGGCTATATATAAAATCCCATTATTTTCCCTTCTAGGTATGAATGTTCCTCGCTGCAGGAAGGAGGGTGACAGTGGGAGACAGGAGAAGGCTGGTCCATCCTCGGAAGGAAACGAGGAGTAAATTAGGGGTTCTCATTTGCCAGGACATTGTGATGGGCAATGCTGTGACCCGTATGTCTCCCTCCATGGATCTGGGCACCGTGCCATTAGCAGAGATGCACAGAAATATTTTCCCATTATTTTCCATGGTGGAAGCATCCCTTTTCCCCCCACATGCCATAAGATGGTGTCCCTGATCCTTGGCTACTATTGTCATCGTGCTCTCAGCGCAGTGATGAGATAAGAAAGAAAACCAAAGTAGTTGCAGATATTAGGGGACTGGCCTCATTTTCTCAGACATAAAAGCAACTTTTTATTAGTGTTTCTGTTTCTTTCTTATATAGGCTTCAGGAAATAAAGTATGAAATGGGAAGTGATTTTTTTCGACTGGCCCTTGCAGTTGTGAAACCTGCTCTAAAATCTCTGAGATTTACTGTCTTAAAACACCCTATTGATGTTTATAGGAATTATTTACAATATTTTCATCATTCCCATTGGTAAATTGCCCAAACCTGTGTTTCAGCAGGACATGTAGCATCCTGGACTGTTGCTGTACTCTTCTTTTTTCATTGTGTGCAGATGATGTTGAGGTTGGGCAGGTTTTGGGGGGCTTGTTTGGGTTTTTTTTTTTGGTTTTGTTTGTGTTTTTTCAATTTACAAAGGAACAATGAAGGCAAATTGGGGAATGGAGAGAGGAGGAGGAGTGTACCAGGCAGTTATTCCTGAGGTGGCTCACCTTCCCGTGGGAGAGGATTGGGCTGTCACAGCCTGCCTGTGGCTGCCTGGGCCCGGCACTGGCTGCCTGGCCATGGGAGGCTGTCTCCGGTGCTGGGCAAGAGGTGGGAGAGATGAAGCAGGAATGGACATTAAGGTCAGGATGCCTCAAGCATGGGAAAGGGAGCTGGGATTTCAAAAGCAGCTGCAGGCTGAGGGAAAAACCCTGAGTTTGAAAGAGTAAACTTTTGCCCATGGGAAGTTTCAAAGGGCTTTCCTTTAAGCTGTCCTGTAAAAAATAAAAATAATCTGCTCCTGGGGCAAAGCTCTGCACACCGAGTGCTTGCAGGGTAGAAAAACAGTGGGTTTAGTTCATCTGAGTTTTCACAGAGGCTAAAATATGCTGATGGTATGATGTGTTGGAAGCAGAGGTGCTTGGGAACCCCTCCCTGCATCAGGGCTGGTGGGATGGGTCTGGGGTCAGGGTCCCCTGCAGCCCATCAGTGGGGTGAGCATCACAGCCTGGGAAAGCTGGTTCAGCATCGTCCACTGCTGGCTTTGCTACTGCATTATTTAGGGGATATACCCATCGCAAGGAGCACCACAGCCAGGTTTGAGACCAAGTCCTTGAGAAAAATCCATATTAAAGTGGAGAGCAGCAGTTCCCGGTGGCAGGGGGGTAAGGCCAGAGGGATGCTGCTGTGCCACTGCCATGCTTTACACCCACACAAGCCCATGCCTGTGTTTGCCCCGGACCTGGGGACTCTGGAGCCTCATGAGCTCTTGGCTTGTGGGCAGCTGTAAGGTTACATGCAATGTGCAGGACAGGAGATCCCTGCTGTGTCCCCAGCAGTAAAAACAGCTGCTGGCCTTCCTGCCCATGTTGGGGACAGGAGCTGCGTGGACCACCTTCCCCTTGCACTCACTGCAGGTGATCCAGCCTGGCACTGGTGCCCGTGTCTGAGCAGAGATGTGGGGCTGGGGATGCATCCGAGAGCGAGCACTGTGTTCAGCAAGATGCCGAATTTCCAGCCCCATGTCAGCCTTGCAGCTCCAGGCACTGGCTGAGCCTTCTTAACATCCCTGGGGAGACCCACCTACCCTCTGGAATCGCCCAGGGCTCAGCACACACGGGCACTGCTTGAGCCCCAGCACACACAGGCATCACTCGGGGCTCAGCATGCACAGGCATCGCTTGGGGTTTGGCACGTGTGGGTGTTGCTTGAGGGTCAGCACTTCAAGGGGAATTTCTCAGGGCTCAGCATGCTGGGGGCTCAGCACACACAAACATTGCTGGGGTTCAGCACACACAGACACTGCTGGGGTTCAGCACACACACACTGCTGGGTTCAGCATACACAGACACTGCTGGGGTTCAGCACACAGACATTGGGGTTCAGCACACACAGACACTGCTGGGGTTCAGCACACACACACTGCTGGGTTCAGCACACACAGACACTGCTGGGTTTCAGCACACACAGACATTGGGGTTCAGCACACACACACTGCTGGGTTCAGCACACACAGACACTGCTGGGGTTCAGCACTCACAGACATTGGGGTTCAGCACACACAGACACTGCTGGGGTTCAGCACACAGACATTGGGGTTTAGCACACAGAGACATTTCTGGGGTTCAGCACCCTCTGGCATTGCTCAGGACAATTCCTGCTGGCAGTGCTGTGCCCCTGGGCTCAGGGCCAGCCGTGGGCTGCCTCTGTTTGCTCTCAGAAGCTCTCTTGGCCTTCAAGCTGTGCCAGGTATTTGGCCTTGGCTGTATCGCTCTGTCTGGCTTTCCTCTCCCACTCTCGGCTCTTTGCAGGCTCCTGTGGGGGAAGATGCCCTCCCAGCCCTGCTCCCCCCGGAGCTGTCCTTCTGCTTTAACTCTTGCTCAGACAGAGGCCATGGTTCCTTGCTCACCCCAGAGCCCTGTCCCGCACTGAGTGCAGCACCCACAGGAGATCAGCCTGCAGAGCAAAATGAGTGATATATTCACTGCTTCTAACGAACATGCCTGTACAGGACCTTTACAAGCTGTGCTGTGACCTGCCTCTGCTGTCTGCCCGTTGCTCTCAAAGTGTTTGTTAGCGAAGTCCTATCAACCAGCGTTAGCAAGAGCAAACCAAAAGCACCTTTGTGCTGTTCTACAGGTGAACACAGAGGCAATCCAAGGAGCTCACAGCATCTTTCCAGCCCATCTGAATCCCTTCAGCACACCAGCCCCACTGCCCCCAGTGCAGAGCTAGCCATAGCATTTGCCCTGCTCAGCACCCCTTGAGAAATGCTCAGTACGCTGCAGAATCCAGCCTGGTCCTTCTGCCACCTGTTCTGTCAAAGAAAAATGTTTGAGTTGTGTTCCGTCAGAGGAAAGAAAAGTCTGTTGCAGTACAAGCCAGTGTTTGTCCCTGGTAACATCCTTCCTGGGTCATGTCCAGGCCGGTCTCAGCACCGTGCAGGGGACGGTCCGTAGCTTCTCCCTGCCTGCCTGAGGAGGGGGGTGATGGTGGGATTTACTGCCTGTGGAGGCGAAGCCACAGCCTCCGCCGCACACCTGGGAAGAGATGGTGTCTGTCAGCCCCAGGACACTCTCCCAGCTCCCCATCCCACTCCTGGGCTGTCCCAGGCCCTGACACCCCTCCTCATCCCCCGGGGCTGGCAGGATACTTACGGTGGAGGCGGTGGGCAGTGGGGACCAGGCTCAGCAGGAGGACCAGGACACCAATAGCCAGCGGGACCCAGACCAGGGGGCTGCAGGCACCTGGAGAGCAGGAGGGGACATGGTGTGGAGCTGCCCCCTCAACCCAGCACCCAGCATCATCCTGCTCTGGCAGCTTTGGGGGATGGAGCGTGGGGTGGGAAAGGGAGAAGAGCAAGGCAGGTCCTCAGAGGAGGGGTAGGGGATATGACCATCACCCTGGGGTATCCCTTGGAGGTGCATTACACCCGAAGGCCTGGCAGGGAACTTAGCTATGAGTCATGATACCCTAAACTGAAATACATCCTGGCCCCTAAACCCTTGTATAGCCCAGGGAACCACTCCTAAAGGCAGAGGTCAGCCCCATCCAGCCTGGATGCCCACTGCTGCAGGGTCACATTGTAGTTGCCCCCACCCCAGGACAAAATCCAGCTGAACCCTGGGGACCCCCAGGAGCTCAGCAAACCCCTTTTACAAGGCAGCCTGAGCTGACCCGGTGCCGTACCTTTCTTGTCAGCAGCTTTACTTTTGGTTATGCACCGCATGGGCTTTTTGGAGAGTGGTGCTTGAGTGGTCTTCAGAGGCAAAACGTCAACTGGTGGATAAGGAGGAGAAGAGAATAGTCAGTCTGGCACCAAGTGCAGTGGAGATCTCAAGCAGCAGGCAAGAGGGGCTGGAAATTCTGTTTTTTAAAAATAGCCCCATCCAGCAACCCCCACAAAAGCCTGAGTTATCTATAGGGGCCAGGAGCTTGACCCGAATCTCTCAGTGGCCACAGAAATTACCAAGAGACTGTAAAAGAGTTGGTAAAACAACATAACAGACAAACAAGGGCAGAAGGCTAAGGCAGAGAAAAAGGAAAGTTCCTTGAGCTACATTTACTGCCAGGCACTGTCTCATCAGCATTGCACAAAATCACAGCTAAGAGGAGATTTCAGTAGCACTGGGAGGTTTTAAGGGACCCGTGGTTCTTTTCCATATTCAGATTGCTCTAATCTTTGCTCAAAATTGGATTTTTAATTTTATTTTTTTTTCTGATGACGGCAGGATTTCTTATGGTGTATCTGAATTACAATGGAGTATATTCATCTCTGTAAAACTGGTCAGGAAAATATCCCAGTAATGCCATTAAATGGCTGTACATCTGACTGCTCAAACTCCACTAATTCAAAATTTTGGGTGATTCACTCTTTTTTTCTGCTTCATTCTGAGACTGAAATACCTTCAGAAACCACCATACTTTTACATTCAAAGATGAGACATCAGGTGCCTGGGATTTATGTGGACAGCTTCTCCTTTACATTATAATAGACTTAAAGAAAAGGAACTTAAAGACAATTTGTTTTATCATGTATGTGTACTAAAGGAAAAAAAAGAAAATATCCATCAAGGCCTGAGTCTTCCCAGAGAACCAACTGGTGTTTAGTTTTAAATGGGAATGTCCTTGATCGTGCTGAATTTCAACCCCATTTTTCTTGCTTTGCTTTGCACATAGATGTGTGCTCAGTTGATAAAAAACAGTTCTCTTTTATCTTAAACCAGCTTTTCTTTGAGCCGGCAAGAATCCAAAAGGGATTTCTCAGCCAGCTCAAGGTGCAGGGCATATTTGGAAAAAAAAAAAAAAAAAAAAAAGGCTGGAACACTGGGGATGCTTTTGAGCCAGCAGCTGTAGCTGCATCTTGGTTAAATAAGTTATTTGTTTCCCTAAAATTCTGCAAAGAAAGGGCTGAATCCTGCTTCACACACATTAGTTTTAGTACACCACCTCCTGCTTGGTGGTCAAGGGGAAAATGGGCTGAAAAGAGCTGCTGTATGACCCAGGGTCTGTAAAGCAACACTCCCCCAGTGCTGCCCACAGATAGCTCTTGTTTCTGGCTGTGAGCTTTGAGGAATAAATCCCATTTCAATCCTTTTTGTGAATGATGGGCTTAAAACCTGCAGTCAGATACACTCCAGCAACGTGAGGGATGATGTCCTCTGGCCTCCATGCAGCTCCTGTCTCTTGGAGAAAGAGTAAGGAAGAACAGGGGTGCAGGAGGACCCGGGAGCTGAGCAGAGCACCCGTCCAGCCTCTCATCCAAAGTACTGCAGGGCATGAGACAAGCGCAGGGCATGGCAGTATCAGGGGCTGAGCACCTTCCCGTGGAAATCCTAAGATGCTGGGAACAACACAGCGCTTAAGGCATGACCACAGCAGAGCAATTGCTGGTGGCAAAAAGACTGTCACATGCAGTTGACCTAAAATTTAGTTATTTTCCATATTTTCTGCCTTAGCTGGTCTCATAGGTCTCTTCAGAAAAACCCCAGAGCCCTAACTTTGCAACTTAAAATTGGGAAGGGTCTGTAAACATGCATAACCCTTACCCAGGGGACCTCATCACAGTCTGCTGGTGACACATTTTGGAGCCCCAGGAGTGATGCTTACCCACACCGAGCCATGTCCCACTGTCCAGGAGGAGCTGGGAGGACTGGGAGATGGAGCAGTAATAGGTGCCGTTGTCCGAGGCATGGAGATGGTTGATGTGCAGGCTGTAGGAGGTGCGGAAACTCGCCCCACGGACACTAAACTTGTCCTGGCTGATGTTTGTGCCGTACGTGACTTTGCCCAATAGGTTGGAAAATATCAAGAACTCGAAATTTTGCCTCACATGGCTCCAGCGGTACCAGTACACCCCTGCATACTCCTCCTTCAGCTCACAGAGGATTTCTGTTTTGCTGTTGGCTTGGGCTAAAATGTGCTTTGGAGTCTGAGATAAAGGTAGATTTGTACAGAAAACTAGGAAAAAAGAGACAGGAATACATAGTTATTATTTTCTTTTCATTATTTTTCTTCTGTGCTAAGTACAGATTTTCTTTGTGGTCTTAATAAGATCGAGTAGTCACAGACCAGGGGATCACACGAGCAAGAAACAGGAGCATCTGTACCAGGATGGTCCCACATTCCCTCAGAGGCCTTTTTGGGTTCCCTAGCTCATTTTTCATCAAGCCTAGTTATACAGGTAGAGTTTGCCCTGTAAAACACCCATCTAGGGAGGGGGTTCAGTGTCAGGGAGAGGGATGGAGGGATGATTTTGGGGGTATCCTCAGGGCTGTATGTGCAGGGGAGGGCATCCCCACCTACTCCCACAGATGCTCCTCTCCAGCTCCCCTTTTCTCTCTCATTTTTCAGAGAGGCTTCACCTCTCTTTCAACAGATTTTTTTTGACCCTCTTAGCTTATTTGCCAGAGTTTTGGTCCAACAGAAGCCACACTGATAAACTTCAGATGGCATCTCAGATGCAGAGAAGGACCAAAAAATGTGCAAAACATCTCAAAATGAGCTAATTTTATATTAATTTTCATATGAAATTATTCTTATATGGATTTTGAGACCTGGGGAAGGGGAGGGACTGAGGGGTAGCGGTGGACTTGAAAGCTTCGGTTTGACATCACATCAGTGTGTTTGGGTTTTGCATCTTTTTTAGAAATTATCTGAGACGTGTTTGGCCCAGGCAGATGTGAGTGGTGTCTGTGTGTGAGCGAGGGTCTGTCCTTGTGAAAGGGATAACAGGTGTCTTGTGATCCTTTCTGTTCAGCAAACAGTCCTACAAAGCTGCAGATACTCCAAGACCAAGTGAAAAACAGCCCTTTGAAGATAAGGATGCTCTTGCTTCCCCCATCTTCTTCCCAGGCATTTTTTAAAGCTTTGTAAAAAGCTCAACAAAGCACACTTTTTGGCTTTTTTTTTTTTTTTTAACCTTAAAATGTCCCTATTCCTTCAAAATCCCAAAGCTGCTTAGAGCTGTTGTTACAAAGAGCCTTGTGTAGCTCTGCAAACCCAGTGGTGTGGGAATGGGTTTGCATGGCCACAACCCCTGAAGTCATCCCAGTGGCCATGGCCCCCATGTCCCTCTTGTCCCCCATGGGGACAGACAGAGGAGAGGGCTCTGGTGACTGACACAGGTCCAGAGCTTTCCTCTGTCCCCGCACCGATGACCCCATCGCTGCTGGCAGGCTTCAGCCTTAAATTAATATTGCAATGCCAAAAATCAGGCATTGCACATCAGTCGCACCATTATAAATGTCTCCTTAATACGTAAATACCTAATTTTCAGGGTTTAGAGTACAATCCTCACAAACGTTGCTCTGACAAACACCTGTGTGTTTTTTAGGGGATGAAATGTGTGTGGCTGTGGGGCACCGTGGCTTCAGGGTCTCCTTGGCTACCCTGAGGTCTGGCTCTGCTGGGAAACAACTCCCCACAAAAACCTTTTCCTCGAGCTGTTGGAGAGGTTGGATGAACCAGAAGGAATGAGGAAGGATCCTGGAAAATGCTCAGCTCAGCTCTGAGCCAGTGGTCAAGCTTCAGTGGGGTGAGCTGGGACGGAGACAGAGCAGAAAAGCTCATCCTTTGCCAAACCTTCACCCCCCCAAAACCTCCCTGTTCCCTTTCCCAGTGTATATTCTCCCAGGGGACCACACAGAATTGGAGTAGGATGGGTTTGTTTCCACATGCTTGGCCAGACCAGCCTGCAGCAGCTCAAAACCAGTCCCTTTTCTCTCTTGCATGTGCGTTCTGGAGCAGGGCGGAGGAGAGGCTCCAGCATGATTTTAGGTGCTCTTAACCCTTAAGAGACATGTTCCTCTTACCTGGGATCTGGAGGCAAGCGAAGAGACGGAGCCACAGCCAGGCCATAGTGGTGGAGTCAATGATGGAGGGGGTTTGTGCCAGCTTCCCCCTTCCACCCACGGTCACTTCTTGGTGGTAGGGCTGGCTTCACCCCACGAGGTCCTTCCCCGTCTTGGCACAGATGTCTCGCCAACAGCTGCCAAAGAGCATCTGCAGCAGCGCCCGGAGCCTCAGCCTGGCAGTTTCGCCTGCGCCGAGTCCCCAAACCAGGTGTGCATCAGGGCGGCAGCCCCACGCGCTTCTCCAGCACTGCATGAGATCCCCCCAAATCCCCTTTCGGAAGAAAAAACCCTAAGCTCATTGATTTTTAATTATGATTTCTTCATATTTCATCACCTAGATTTTTGTCTTTCTTTTAATCTAGATCCACGCAATTAAAAAAAATGACAAATATAGGAGCTTGGCATTAAAAATAAAATCAAGAAAGGCTGAATTTCAGCTGTTTTCTCCTCTGTCAAAATCAAAATGCGTGCAAAATAAGGAGAAGATGCAATTTGAGCTGTGGGGTTGTTTTCTTCAGCAGAGTCTTCAGCAGGAGGTGTTTTCCTCTGGGCCTGGAAAATGCTGAACACCAACCTAGATGGCCATAAGGCAGAGGCACGAAGCATCACAGGAAACTTTGAAGCCCAGAGCAAGAAACCTCAAACAAATTTAGTGGCTGAAAGAACCACAAAATAAGGAAATTCTGCTGGGGCTTCCCACCTCACAGTGGGCACTGCTTTGGTAGCTGTGACAGTGTGCGGCTCTCATGCAGAAATATTTAGATGATGGATAAAATATCAGAGTGGCTTTGAAATGTCTTCAGGGGCAAGAGGTTTGAAGCACTCAGGGTTTAGGACTCAAAGAGTGAAATACATGATGTGAAATTACAGGGGTGAACTGGCGTCAGCAGCCTTCAATATTTCCATGTTTGGGAAAGAAATGATTTATTATTAATGTTTATTCACTGCTCCCTTGGCTGCCAAGTGGGGTTTGTTTTTCTTTTATGCCCTCCTTGTGCAGACACTCGTGGTCCTTACAGAGCCTCAACATCTCCCCGGGGCTGGCTCCCTGGTGAGGGGAGATTCCCCAGGGGGGATCTCACAAGGCTGGGTTGGGGGGGCCACTGAGAAACCTCCCCCAGGGTTTGAGTTGGCAGACGAATAGGAAAAACAATTTTGTGTCTCGTGCAGTGCAAATTTTTGGTCCATTTTGCAACCAGATTTTTCCATGCTGCTGTAACACATCCCCTCCCCATTTCTGTTTGAAATAATTTCCTGCTCAAAGCGGCTTGCTAACCACCAAAAGCCTTGCCACAAAGGGCTCGGCTGCTAAAATTTAGGGTTGGCTGAACCACTCCTTAACTCTTTTCTGGCAGGCAAAACGTGTTTTCGTGCTTTCAAACACATTTCAGTGCTTTCAAGGGCTCATTGCTGGAGCTGAGCCCCTGGCACAGGGTGCAGCATCCCTCGTTTCTCCTCTTCTACCCTCCTGCTTGCCTTTCCCCTCACTCCCAAACTGGGACTTCTCCAGAATGGGGTGTGGGCAACTCTTTTTTTTGGGGGGGATGGTGTGTGTGTTTGTGTGTGTTCTTAATATGAGAAATGTCACTGCAATTGAATTTTCCCTTTATCCTCGTGGTGAAGTCAGTGAGCTGAGCCCAATGTCCCTGGCTGCTGCAATGGCTGTGTCCCCTTTTTCCCACTGCTGCTGTCACCTGGAGCATCTTCTGGCCTCCTGGTCAGGATCAAAGTGCTCTCAGAGGTGGCTTTTGTCACTGTTACAACCTTGAACATGGGGAATATTACACTGGGCACCAAACACTGCTGCAAGGCTGGTAACACTGGGTTGCCTAAGCAGATATATTGGCTTGGAGGGATTCCCCAGGATATTATAGCAGCTTTAGAGATGTTTCCCTGCAGCGCTTTTACTTATAGGATGTCTCCTATGGAAAGAAAAAGGAATATTTGCAATGTAAAATCATAGTGTGTGTGCTGGGATTAATTTGTAAGTTTTTTTGAAGCTGCTGTTTGCAGTTGAGCTATTTACTGGCAGCTAAGCTGTTCTCAGGACTGGATGGTGCTCCTACAAGAAACCGTTTTGGAGGTTGGATACCTTTGTCTCATCACCAACAAAAATAAAAGCACTCTGGGAACATGAAGGCGAGAGCTGCTGTTTATACCATCTCCACGTTGTTTGGGGCTGCTGTGCTGGGAAGAAAAGAGGGGAGGAAAACAGGGTGCAAGTTGAACTGATCTGTTAACACAAGCAAGGGTTGTTGGTGACCTTGCTGGGGTACAGCAGCTCCTCATCACGAGTGTTTGGCTTATTGCTGGGGCAAGATGAGGGAGATCGCTGACTTTTAGTGTATCAGTGCTATTCGGCTGTACAGTTCCTAGGGGGAATTTATTCTTTTTCTGAAATGAAAACCAACCAGCCTGGACCCCAGCCCAGCCACCCCACTGCCCCCGTCTCAGTGCTTTCCCTGTCGGTCTCCTCCTCACTCATCTGGGGGGGAAACATCCCCTCTTCTTTTTCTCAGCCTGCATCCCATGTACCTCAACCACACCAACACTAATTCCCTGCATTTTCAACAGCTTTGTTACATTTCCAACTTTTTATTTTCTCCTTAGGATAGGTTTCTTGCAGCAAAGTGTTTGCTCTCGGGGAATTGTAGGAAAGCATGGGGGTAGAAGAAAGAAGAAAGAGGTTCACAGACAAGAAGCAGGACCTGTCTGGGGTTTCATCTCTTTCATCTCTGCCTAAACTCCCACGTTGCAGCAGAGGGAATTGCAGCTGGGCTGTAAATGCTGGGTTAGAGGAAGAGTTGCCATAAAAATAAGGAAAAAAATCCAATCCCTCTGTGCTTTCTGGGACACAAGGGCTGACTTTTGGGATTGGGAAGGGCTGCTCAGCCTCAAGCCTGGTCCAATACAGCAGGTACCACAGGACTTGGAAATAAGGGCCTGTAGGGGATAATGGGCTGCTGGATGGAAACTCCCCAGAACTCAAGCAGCCACGGATGAACTTTTTTTTTTCTTTTAAAATTTTTTTAACGATTTTATTCCAGGGAAGGGTGTAGTTTCTGGAGGATTTCATTAGGGGGAAAAGCAGTGATGAAAATGATAGCATTTTCACTACGATGAGTACTACCTTTTTCTTAGCGTTATAGCAGAAAAAAAAAATTAAGTGGGCCAAGTTTCCTTTTCTAAACTGCTCCGAGCTAAGATGTGGTTTGTAGGGTGAGGTTGGGGGGGTTTGTCTGTCTTTGCAGGTGCAGATTTACAGCTGTAATTCAGCTGATGCAATATCACAGTCAAGGCTCCCGACACATCGTGGCATGCCCCCAAGGTACCAGAGTGTGATGGGCTGGTTTGTGGCATGGAAAAATGCTGCTTTTGAAGTCCAGAAGCCAAAATGGATCTACATGATGAATCATGTGAATTTTCCTGCCATCTCGTTTCCCCCCAGCAAGCAGATCCGTGCTTGGGGTGTGGTTTGGGGGGACCATATGTATTACAGGTGTCAGGTGTGAGTCTCATGTGTGATGTCCCCCTAAAACCCAGGTGCTAATGGGGTGTGCAGCAAGTGAGGGGGCATTGGGGGAATTTGGGAGGATGGCTGCTGAGGGGACAGGCTCCAGGTCTCCCTCTTCAGGGCACTTGGTGCAAGCAGAGGTTAGCATGAGCGAGCAGACACTAATCCTGGGCCCCCCCAAAATAGATAAGGGGCAGAGCAGCTGCCAAAGAGGATAAAGAAAAACAAGGAAAGTGTCCTTGGGAAGACAGGGGGAGGGGTGCAGCACCTGCAGGAAAAAAAGCCACTGGGCAAGTAAGCAGAGGTATTATCACCCCCAAACAAGGACCTGCCATGGCTATAAAAAGCCATCGGAGTGAGGGCTCACAAACACCTTGTCCTGAAAGGTGTCGAAACTGCCGGAGCTCTGCAGCAACTATCTCCAGGGCCCCGGGACTGCCGGAACATCCAGCCAAGGATTGGTGAGATCTTATTATTGGGGTTCTTCTAAACCTCTGCTTCGCTTTGCCCGTTCCCACGTCCCTTCCCCATCCCCTTCCCCGGGAGCCGGTGTGTCGCGGCGGCTGCCTGCTCGGCCGCGGCCACTCGGCCCCCACCTTCCCCGTCCCTTGCTACCAGGTTCGGGCTTTCTCCCGGGGGCTTTTCGGAGGGGCAGATCGCAGGGTCGGAGCCTTTCGCTGCGGGTGGGTCGGCGGTGCTGTGTTATGGTAGTTTTGTTCTGAGACGAAGCTGTCTTGGATCTTGTTTGCCTCACTATGATGACTGACTTTGTTAGCAATTGGAAACTGGAGCAGTTTGTGCTCCAAAAGTGTCTCCCTCCGGTTTGGTCCCCAGGGGCCTTCCAGGGCCCGGAGGCATACCAGCAGCTCTGCCAGCAGTGGGAGAGCTGGTCGGAGGAGAGCAAAAAACCCAAACCCACAAATAAGTGCAAGAAGCGAGCGGCTTTGCAGGGTTTGTTGATGGTGGGCAGGGAGTTGTCCAAATTGCTGAAGGAGGCTCTTGAGAATGTGCAGAAGTTGGAACAGGCCAAGGGTGAGCTCAAAATGCAGGTGGACAACCTGCGGGCAGAGGTGCAGGGTTTGTGCGGGGACTCTCTGCGGAGTGCGGTGGAGATCACCCGGCTTGAGAGCAAGTTGGGCTATGAGAAGCTGAAAACAGAGGAGCTGGAGAAGGAGGTTGGCAAGTGGATCGGGGAGACTCACGATGCGCAGAGCGCGGTGCGGGCGGTCCTGCAGGATGTCCAGCGGGACCGGGGTACTGGCCCTGATCACAAAGTATGCCATGCCAAGATTCAGGAGCTGCAGGCAGAGCTGGGGGTGTCGAGGGGCATTGTGGCTGCCATCCAAGGCAAGAGGAGCCGGTTTGGGAATGGTGAAGGGGAGAACTCCCCAGACCCGCACCCTCCCCACTATGACTATGAGGATGATGTGTGGGGTGCCAACGGCCCCACCAGGCCATCTCCCTATGCTCCTCTGAGGGAGGAGATGTGCCAGATGCAAGGAGGGGAGGTGGAGGCTTCCAAAATTAAAAAGAGCCCACCCGATGAGCCGGCCACCCATAGCCCACTCCAGGCCATAGACACCAACAGGGCTATTCTCTGGTTTACCCCCGAGCAGCTCAAGACAGTGGGGAAGATGCTGGGGCCATTAACAAAGGAGACAGCAGTCAACTGGCTGTCCAGGGCTCAGCGGCTACCTAGGTGCCAGAGTGGCAACTTGGTGAGTGACCTGGTAGATGTGGTGAGAAAGTGCATGAAACCGGATGATTTTGCGGCGCTGCCGGGGG